GGGGGGTCAATTCTGCCCCTTGCTTGGCATTGGTTTTGCGTGGACCGCAAAATTCTATATTCAGTGTAGAATTCTGTGGCGTAGACCAATCATGCCATGGAAAAGACAACTACATTCGTCTGTTGTGCAATCAGTTAGAAAAGTCCATAAAGGAAATCAGAAGAGCAAAGTAATAATTAGCCAACTGAATTGAAAGAAGTGTGCAATGATAAGCCTAAAAACAGGCAGAAACTTCAGCATCAAATTAACCCGATCTTCATTCTTTTCTTTTTTTTAAAAGCAAGAATAGGCCTACTTCAGATATGATCTGGTATGGAGAGAATGATAATAATTTTCTGACAATTAAAAGCTGCAAAATTATAAGGCTAACTTGTTGGGCTCAAGGCTCCAGCTAGGGAACTTTATTGTTGGCAGTGCAAAGGGGGGGGCACCTAAAGAAAACGTGACGCGGATTTTTGGACATTGTTTATAATGAAGTACAATCTTGTTGCATAATCACGTGGATGGCGTTATGAATATAGAGGTATGAGTGATAAACATGGGGAACATTTTCCTCAAGATATTTCAGGGTGCTCTCGTGGCTTAGAGGTTAAGGTGTTCGCCTCTCATTCAAGGGTCCCAGTTTCGAATCCAGATAACAACCGAAAAATTTTCTTCTCTAAAATTGTCTCATGTCACCTCCTCTTCTGCTCTCCAACCATGTTCTATCGTCTGCTTTCGTCTCCACTTTCTGCATCCATCATCTCACCTCCTTTGCCCCCTCCTCTGGGCTCCAGAGAAAAATTTTCGGTCGCTACCAGGATTCGAACCCGGAACCTTTGAATGAGAGGCCAACACCTTAACCTCTAGGCCACGAGAGCCCCTCCTGACTCTTTCTGCAGCCTTTCTACTGCTACTCCTTGATTCCTTTTTACACCTGTCTTTCAGCCACACCCTTGATCTTCTCGTAGGAAAGATCTACACCTAGCCTTCTCGAACAAGGACGAAAAATCTCGGACGTCCCGTATGCAAGTTGCGCAGGTTAAGAATCCCTTGGTTGTCCAAAATCGATAAGAGTAGCCTTCCGCCGCCACTCGAGCAAAATTCAAAACTTCCAACCAACTGAAAATGTTTAATGTGTCCCGCGCGCTCTTATTAACTTATGCAGTTGCGAGCGCAGTAAAACACTTACACCCCCCCCCCCACCCCCACACACGCAAAAAAACCCCAACAACCCAAGCCCCAAACATTTCAGCAATCCTTTGCTCAATATAAATGATGTTTTGGGCTTCCCGGCACTCAAGAGAGGAGGCTTCCACGCTGTCGTGAGGGTTTCTGTCTAGAGGAGAAGGTAGCAAGTATTATTCTTTAGTTACAAGAAAAGTACCAGAACTTAAATACAAGGGGTGCACCTGAACCAAGAAACAACGAGTCAGATAAGTATAGTAAACTAAACGGAAGAGTCAAATTTCTAAGAATGTGATGAACAGACTGTCACTATAGGCCTAGTAGGCCTATTACTCGTGATTGCGACGGACCACTCATGCGCCAGATACACAATCTGCCGTCAGGATAGGAAAAAGTAGGTTATATATAAAATAAATTTTACTAGCAAGGCAAAGAAAAGTGCACTAGCAAGGCAAAGAAAAGTACACTGCTTTAAATAAATAAATAAATAAATAAATAAATAAATAAATACATGAATACATGAATACATGAATACATGAATACATGAATAAATGAATAAATGAATGAATAAGTTATAAAAAAACTTTTTTGTGTGTGTTTCAACTTAATTAAAATTTGGTCGATCTGATTATTTTGTGTCAATATTCATTGGCCAGTGTAACTTTTGTCTGATTTGTTGACGTATTCAAAAGATATATAATGTAGTTATGGAGTACCGTAATTGATTGAAATTTCTTTTGTCATTACAATAATATCGATATTTATTTAGACCACAACGCATATTTTCAAAAGCCTCAAACTTCCCAAATGTTTATTGCACAGTCATAAAACCAAAATAGAAAGACGCGCCATTAAAAGAAGTTTGTCCTCTGCATAAAAACGCTACTTGACCTAATTTAGCATACGGTAAACTGCCCTAGGTGCAACCAGACCAAGGTGCAACCAAATTTCACTGTCTTCTAAATAAAGCAGAAGAGTTAAAAAAATAAGTTAACTAAGCACCTTCCCTTGGTTTTTCTGTTTGCTCATAATCCACTTCCTTTTCATTTCCCATTTCATTGAAGCTGACTCGCATGCTGAATCTAGGCGTGCCCTCACGAGACGAGACCGCAGATTTTATACAATAATAATAAATGTAAACGACTTTTAAACTATTTCAATTTTCAGACCTTGGGCCCTTGTAGCTAAATAAAAGCTATTCAAGTCATTTCTTTCTCGAATCCTTTTCTTCTGTATCTTTGAACAACTCTGTTACATTTAAGTCGCATAATGTCTCGCGCGGGCAGACTGGTTGCACCAAGGGCTAATATTTAACTAATAACTGTTACACCGAGGGCATGTGGTTACACAGTGCACACGGCTTAGGGAGAAAAAGCAAATTGCATTTCCCATTTGAAATCTTTAGTTGTTTGCCATTTTTCATTCAAGCACTGAGCTCATTTTTCGGTCATATGAATCGATTACTACATAAGAAAATTCTGTCTGTCTGTCTGTCTGTCTGTCTGTCTGTCTGCCTGTCTGTCTGTCTGTCTCTCTCCTCTCTCTCTCTCTCTCTCTCTCTCTCTCTCTCTCTCTCTCTCTCTCTCTCCAGTACACCCTTGAGTAAAGACAACCCCGCAAAACTTATCCAGACACCCTCGTACACATTGATGACATCACACAGTCATAAATTGTTATACAAAACAGAACAGCATGAATAAACGATACTGAGAAAACATAATAAATACTGAGAGAACATAATAATATTTGTATTGGGAATGTCGGAATTACAGATTGAAACTGGACTGAAACAAATGCGTTTGAAGTGCTGATTTAAATTTTGTTAGAGTGGTAGGCCTAGACTCCCGTAGATGAGCTGGCAAAGCGTTCCACAGGGAGGGAGCGTGGTGTCAAAAAGCTCTCCCTCCGAGTCTCTGACTTTTGCTTCGGACAGGTCTTAAAAGTTTTACTTCTACTTGTAGTTGCTCATCGTTCCTTTGGTCAAATTCTATGAATAAAGGTAATGACAGGCCTATAACTGTAAGAAGTCACTCTATTGATCAGAAATGAAGTGATTTCCAAACATCAATTCTGCCTGAAAGTGAAAGTGTTAAAATGTCCTGCCGCAAAGAGGTTAGATCTATAAATATTATAGAACCTCTCTGACCTTGTACTTGTGGCCGCCTTCTCACATCACATTGAATAATAATGTGATCATATTGAATATAAATGACAATAAAAAAAGATATTATTTGCTATTTAAATTTTAGTAACTTGGGACGTGTATGTCAGCAATCATTAAAATAAAAAAACTAAAGAGAAAAAAAAGCAAAAAAGAAACCTGCGCAAAGTGCGCGACTGGAGTTGGAAAGGGACATAACTTAGGCTATAGCAAAAAAAATCTTCCAAAGAGAAAGAGGGCACATCTTCGCAAGATCGACGAAAAGGAGGTAATTTTAACCTACTTCCGAAACACCAACTTACTTCCGGATAAAGAACGATAAATACTGTGTGTACATTTTCTTAGTTTATTTTCATGTGTCTGTGACTCACTGCATTTACTTCTAGCTAGTCTAGATTGAAATTCTTCATACGCTGTGAAGCAATTTGCCAGTGCAACAATGTTTTCGAGCAGCTCTTCGAATTTTAACCGGAATTTAGGTGAGATAATCATCTGAGTTATTGGAAGAAGAATAGATCCGGGACAGATTCATCAGATTGAGACAAACGGCGACATCAACAACTGTCTTGTGACTCAATGAAGTCAATGTGACTGTCATTGTTGTGCTTTGATTGATTTAGATCTAGATATAGATCTAGTTCTAGAGGTCTAGAAATCAAGATCTAGTGATCGTATGTACGAGTACACACTGTCTAGATCTAGCCTTTAACTAAATCTAGATCTAGATCTAGTAGTTCTATTTAATAGATCTAGAGATCTTCAGACTTCAGTAGTGTAGGAGTAGTGAGTAGGTCAGTAGGATAAGTTTTTATAACATTGAATTTGAACTGTTCTGAGCAAATTTGTCTTTGTAAATTGCATTGTAAGTGTTATTACATTATAATTGTATGTTACGATCTTGTTGTTCGACTATTGCACTTAAAAAAAATCTAGGTCTAGATCTAGATCTAAGTCTAGATCTAGATCTATTCTAGATCTAGATCTATTCTAGATCGAAGTGGCTAGCCGTAGGCCTACTTAAAAGTTAAAGTACGGCTAGCCTGAGAGTCTAGCTGTACTAGTAGTACTAAGTATGGCTAGATTGCCAGTCTAGCCGTACTTAGATCTAGGTTTGGTCCTATCGACTCAAACCTGGTTAAGTACACAGGTCTTAGATCTAGATCTAGTAATTATTCAGTTAATTCAGGTTCAAATATATACTAGACTAAGCAAGTCAGTAGAGTAAGGCACCTTTTGGTTTTGTCTGAAATACAAATACTTTAGGCATTGCAAACTAAAAATTTCATTAACAATTCAGCCATCAATATTAAGTACGGCTAGCCTGACAGTCTAGCCGTCCTTAAGTAAGTA